AATGAATAAGTAACAGTGCTTATGAAAAGGAAAGAAAAATGTTAAAAATTGATATGAGAGACTTGATGCTATGAACACACAATTCCTAACACTGGAATGACGGTTTGTGAAATTAAAACGTTGATGAAAAAACCCGATGAAAAGACAACTCAAAAGTTTGACTTCAGTCTTTCTCATGTCTATTACATGATGTATTTCAGAAGACTAGTTGTCATACGTTTTTGATGAATTTGATGTCATGGAAAATGTTGTTGATTAATCTGAAAGCGCTTTTCAATTCGTTTCTTTTAATGATGACAAACACATCATCTACATATCCGATCCATAGTTGCGGTTTGGTCAACTGCAATGCCACAGTTTCTAAATTTGCATTACTGCTTCTGCAAATATTCTTGATATAGGTGATCCCATTGGTGTTTCCTGTCTGTCTATAGAGATTGCCATTGTACTGAAAATATGTTGTAAGACATAAATCAATCAACTCCACCAAACTTGGACATTGTAGTTGTATGTGTTCCGAGGTGTGTATCTTTGTTGCAGAGAAGATTCATTGTGTCTTTAACCAGTTTTGGTTCAGTTGAGGTGTATAGAGGTGTAACGTCGAAAGACACCATCACTTCTTCTTTGTTAATATGAATACGCTTGATCTTTTCCATAAACTGTGTCGGAGAGTTGATAGAGTGGTTGTCCACTTCGCATCCATCTACATAAAAAAACAACTAACAGTGAAGCGTCATGACGTTTCTTCGCTCAAATCAATGCAGCCAGACAATTGTGAACATGAATTTGACTGGGAAAATGTGAAAAATCCTGCATAGAGTAGATTCAAAGAATGCTAGAAACTTATAGAGGCGTGGTATTCATGTCAGTCAGTAATCAACAGACATATTGACATTGATCCAATCTATCAACCAATCAGAAACAACAAGAAAGTCAAGTTTCAGGTCATCAGGACAACCAATCAAAACAAACATGGAGACAACGACAAGACCTTAAGAGAAACAATCAATCACACACAAGGTCATGAGGACAAGCTACTGAATAAATTGTGGAGAAAATCTTATCGCTCACTTCTTTCCGAAGTTTTTGCTGATGATTTTGTCTAGAATGCCAATGAAAACACGATAAAACAATGCAGAGAAGACAACACCATCAAAATTGTCTATCTGGACTACAAATATTCTGTATCATCTCAATAACTATTTTGCTGACATCATTTATATTATTTGTTAACAACTAAACAAAATGAACTCACCTCCAATACTTCACCTTCTTGTGAATAACAAGTTAAGATTGTTTCATATTGTTTCTCATGAAATTTCACAGTTTTAATATTGTCGAAGACAGAGAGTAAGTGTGCTTGTATCGTATGTGGATCTGATGCTTGACCCAGGATTTCCAGTAAAGTTGGATCAGATACGAAAAAGAAACGTGGGAAGAGTAGACGTTTCTTTTCCAAATACCTGAAAGGAATTAGTTGGAGAACAGTACACACAGTAGGAGACTAAATAATCTACACTGGATTTCAAGTGAAAACTACGCTAAAATATACACTTTATTTTGATCTGAGATCTAAAATGGCCTGACAAGTCGCATAATTGAACACAAAGCTAAACTCGCTAGTAAGAATACAAGTTAGTTATGCTGCATACATGCATAAATAGACGAACTAGAGGATAAGGAACACTAAATTCCAGTAGTGACTGGTCAAGGCAACAAAAAATGTAGGTTTCATACGATTGCAGTCAGAAAAGTAATTTAACCGTTGTATATCGATGAGCTTATGTCAGGCATCTTCGTGACGAAATAACTGACCAAGTTTTATGCTCCCATCTAAATGAATAAAAACCCTATATATTAACATTTGACGAAGAGAAACTGGAAAAATCACTTTACAAATTAAAATGATGTGTACATTATACTTTGAAATCGTGTTCATATTGAAACATGAACAGTGCTACTAAACATATCTTGAACGAAATAATCATTTAGCTATCTTTGGTTTGAAAACTTAGATTTGTTAAAGACCACGTGATGATAATAATACTGTTTTCAGTGGTCTTAACAGCCATTTTAAAGTAGAAATGAGAAACACATTAAACTGATCAACTTCTTTACCCTACTTGAGTATATTTCGCTTTTACCACCTAAAAACAGCGCAAATATGCTGAATTGCCCGATGAAACCTGCTAGATAATTATATTACTTCTAATTCCTAGATCCAGCTTTTTAAGAAGCTAACAACAAGTAAACTGAAGGTACGATGGTTTGCTTTGAAGAAACTATCTAACATGTGTAAACAGAGATGGATATAAAAATGCACGCACGAATTCTTAGAGGACTAAGAAATAAAGTTCAAGAGTGACAATGTAGATTTTCTGATACTCATTTGTTTATCCTATGAAGCACTACGCATCGATGTACCGCTCGTTTCCAGGCATAACTGAGTGACTACACCAACATAAGAAAATCCTGACCTGATTAATAAGGAATTCTATTTTCTAGATTGGCGTAAATAATTGATTGAATTGTGCCCTCAATAACAGAAATCGTTCTAAAGAGTTATTTTCTTTTCGACATGAAGTATTAGTAGTGAATGAATGACTGTTTGATTACCCTTTTCTTTAACATTGGTTCGCCAAGGATTTCAAAATAAATTATTCTTAGATGTATTGTTTTGACAAGCTGTTTCGCATTTATTATTATAATAAAAATGAGTTCATAGCCAGTAATTCCATCTTCTGATGATGATCTATTTCGAGGAATTCGGGACTATCATCGAGCAAGCACGCTGGGTAGCAGGATTATTGTCATGATCACTATCTACTCCGAGTTCCTCTCTAGTTTGGAGCGCTTCTTATCAAAACTGAAAAAAAATATCTGTTGACAAACGACCCCTACACTTTTGTTATTTCTTGACAAAATGTATCAAAGAATTCAGTGAAAGTTAACTTGGAAACTGCGACTCCCAAAAGAGTCAATCATTTTCGAAATCTCCAGTACGAAACACACCAGTTTCCACTTATTTCAATGTTTTGTAGACAAATTGATCTGCACTATTGTTTCGACTTATGCAAAGTATTTTGTACTCTTAGAATGAAAGATGACCGAAGGTATTTCGTCTAAATTGACAAACTCCGGAGAACTGATAGGTTGAACAGTATTTCCAAATAATATAAAGATGCAGCACTCAAAAGGAGGATAACTAGTCTTGAATAATCGATGCTATTCGTTTACAAAACTTCGGTGACGCAAACCAGGTAGATTTAACTACTTTGAATGAATGAATAAAGTGTTATACTTGACAGAATGAATAAGACTACTGTGATTATCACATTTTTGGTAGCAAAAGACCAATCAGACTGAAAAAAATAATAGTGATATTGACTGCCATTATTAAAGCAGTGAACAACAAGACTGCTTAAATAAATGGAATGACCAAAACTAGTTATAATTTGAATGGGGAAAACTAGTAAATTTGATCAGAATACTCATTTGTCAAATAAAACCCAACCAGTTTACCCTGTTAAACTTTTTTGACATAGTTCCAACTGTTCCATTAAATGTGGTAATAAATGACTAAGCATTTCATCGCCAACACAACATGTTAGAACGTGTGTAGTTTCATGAGCTCTTTGCATAATACGACACCATGACTTATCCACACTAGTGAAACGTCTAGCTTCCTGAGGCAATTGACGTGCTATATCACCACCAATAAACACAGCTTCAAGGTATATCCATAAATTTTGTACAGCAAGCCACTGCTCAATAATCTCATTGGAATTTGATAATCGTGAGATGAAGTTTTGAATATCTTACGGAAGGGTGCATTATACCTATTACTCAATAGAGAACCAAGTGCCATTAACGAGTCTTCCATAAGACTAATCAACTCTAGAGTATGATCACCTCGAAGTAATAATTCTCCGCGGTTTTTAAACTGAACAAATTCAAAGTTTTGTGCATTCCATTCGGCTTTTATATTAATTAGTTTATTCTCTATATCACGTTCTTTAATTGCTGATACACAAATATCTTCAACATCATCATAATACTTAAGCAGTGGGGCTTCAAGAATGCTGCGCAGAGTAAATCCACTTTCTTCCACATTGAATGTATGTCCAGTTAGTGCAGATAACGTTTCCAGTGACGTTCACGCATTGCTGGATTAGACATTAATTCTAATAAAGGAATGATTTGGTCAAAATTGGCTAAAGTCTGCCTCAAATCATCATATGCTGGATATTCTCTCAGTGCTTTAGGCAATTTCAGACACGATTTTGAAAATCTTGTATTTCTTGTAAGATCAAGTCAATTTTAACATCAGACCATGGAATGTCATAATAACTTGCTGTTTTGTTTAGTACACTGTTGTACAATAAGTAAAGTTTTTGTAACAGATTCAGTTGTTTTCTGACTTCATCCAACCGATTGTATTCAGTAATTGGCAATCCAAATAGTTGTTCACCTGCACTATATGTGATGTAACTGCGATAGAGATTGTCAAAACGATTTTGAAATATGATTAGGCGATCTGACGCCTCTCGTGGTGGTATTCCTCTAGCCATTGGTCCAACCTGATTAAAAAAGTCACGAAATAATATAGAATAATTAAGAAAAAAATCTCTCCTACTTCAAAAAATGCTTGTGTGAATATTTCTCTACTTTTACAGTTTATCTTTATTCTCCACTGACAAGATGTTGTTTAGCCAGCTGACAAAATACCATCAGCGTGTTTAAAAGTGATTCTAATACCATACCAAATATTATCAAATTGCCATGATTCACTCATTATCATTATTATTATTCGTCTTTTAGGTTCCTAGTAGAACATAGAGCTTCACAAGCACGTCTCCATTTCACTCTGTCCTCTGCAGTCTTTTTAACGTGGATCCACGTCTCCCCACAGGCTTTCATTTCTTCCTCACACCATCTCCATGTCACCCTCACCTCGGACACCCAACTCATCATTCCCCCTTTGGATTCCACTCGATAGCCTGATCTGGCGCGTGATGTCCGCAAATGGTCTTCTCAGTGTATGCCCAATCCATCTCCACTTTCTTCTGCATACTTCTTGGGCGATGGATTCTTGCTTGGTTGGTTCGTTCCCAGAGTTCCTTGCTCTTTCTGTCCATCCATCTGATCTTCAGTATCGAGTGAGCCAGTGAGCGAAGGCAGCAGCTGTTGATGACGTATGTCTGTAGTTTGTTGGAAATGCTTTTCCTAACCCTCCAAGTCTCTCAACCATCACATGGAAGCCCTGACTTGACTGGCATTAGTGCTGAAAATCCGGATCTTGTTCTTTATGCTGAGTGCAGTAGACCTCTACACTGATTTCAAACTAATGAAGGCGTGTCTTGCTGTCTTTCCGATCCTGGCTTTGGCGTCCTCATCTGTACTCAAGTCGATAAAAAGTATTTAGGCATAGAAAACTCTTGCATTTAGGTGATTTGCAAAAATGAAGTTCATATGTAACTTTAGTGGTATTGAATCACCACCAGATTGGTGATCTCAAGTATTTCTTAAGAAGAGTTCGCAATAACTTCAAGATGAAAATGGTTATTAGAAGCGAATACAATATCTTATCCAATTCAATTTGCACTGGAGATCGCTGACTGAATTATTACACCACATATGCAATAAAAGAGAACCACGCAAAAATGTCTTTTGGTTCAAAGTGCCGGATGAATTGCTAAGTTTTGGTAAAGGTTTCTCAAAGAAAACTCGTTCAAAGTTTGTGCAAAAGCTTCCAGTCATATGTCTTTCGCCTAAATATGGCTTACTGAATTGAAAAGAAAAATGGATAACTCATGCTGTTGATGAGCTCAAATCAACCCTAACTGGTGTCTTTATCCTCTATGAAAGTCTATCACTACCTAAACTTAAACTTCATTTTATTCCTTGACCTTCCCATTCAGTCATCTAATCTGAATACACTGTAGTATTAGGAGCAGATTTTTGGTCAACAATATGATTGTCTGCCAAAGATCGAATTTGAAAAAGAAACAAGAATTAGTTGATCTATTTTTTGTATTAATGCTTACAAAATAAAGAACATTGGTATGCATTATCAAGCAAGTAGAGTACTTAGTTTACACCTTATACCCAAACTTAATAATTTACTACTTTGCTATTGGATAGTACCACTTGTTCATTTCAACACCAAGTATATTGAGCTAGTGAGTAAAAATGATACTCTTCAAGGGTTTTCTTCAGTGGTTTACAAAGTTAGGGTACTCTTTCAGAGCAATTGTATTCATTGAATCAGAAGCTGACTACTGTAATAGTAACTTGAATTATAATAGAATTTCACAGGCAGTACAATGCTGTCAGACTATAAACTGATGCCGGCAACAATGGAACATGAATTCCAGCCTTTACTGGTTGCCTGCAATTCCCATCAACTTAAAATTCAGTGAACTCTATCAGGCCGAATCCCTTAATAAAAACTGGTAGAATAATTGTGATCAGTAGGGGCATAAGAAACGCTTCAGAGATCAGTTTCACACTAATGAAAATAAAAATACATAGTCAGTATCAGCCGCAACAACTTACTGTATCATAATCATTATAAAATGTTGAACAGTTTTCATGAAATGCACCAATATTTTCCAGTAAATCATTGCGAAAATGCGGTTGAACTTCAACTAACTCATTCTGTACTACTAACATTTGCTTGCATAACTTTTCCCACTCATAACGTAAAGTGTCCGCCTTTTCAGTCTCTTCCTTATCGACTGGGATTGAGTGTTTCGTCAGTAAAGTGTACGATTCTTCGATTGGGCCGAGTTGCAAACCCACGTCCACTTCCATTTCACGTAAATCCTACTCCAGCAAAAGGTTTTTTCAAAGTAAAAAATACCGTTAAAGCTTAAGGAGAAAATATAGCTAATATAAAATAGTTCAGGAGTGATCAGAAGTGAATGCAACACTTTGTCTATGAGAAGATTCACTGTGATGAATTTTCCATGCATTTTTATTCTTTGCTAAAATCCAGTAAAACACCCTGAAAGTTTACTCATTTTCTTGATAGATGTAGTGATGAAGTGAACTTACAACGGCTGAAGTTCCGTCCAGATATGTCAAATACATCTTTATTTAAAGATAATGATAATGAAGTATCGAAGTTAATTAAGGAATAATTAATAATCAGATAGCTTTTCAATCCAGTATACTTGCTTAAAAGTGGATTAGCCTGTGTCAAAGTAAAATAATATGTAGGCGAATCCTAGCAAAGAGTGAAAGAAATAAAGGGGCTATTAGTGAACGGTTATATCATCTAAGAAAATGTCATGAAAGTTTCTGCACATGCTACAATACTTATAAAGTCCTTAATGTTGAACTTATTTCCTGTACTGCAACAAGTGACGATATTAGCTAGGTTAGACATTAGAAGAAATGAATTTGTTACGATGATTAGAATAGGTGAAATGCTATTAAACGCTGAGAATGAGTTTCGCTCTGAATCTGAATTTTGGTTGGCAGACGTTACAATGTCATGCTGGCCATTGTCTCTTGTGCATCAGAGATTCACAAACAGCTAACGTAATTGACTGCGCTTAGATATTTATAAAATACTACCTCGCCTTAGTTCAACATGATAAGTTATTTGGCAACATGCTGACGTATGTTGCACTCGTCTGATTGGCATTTTACTTCAAGCATCCTACGAGGGTGTGCAATTCATTGGTTGACTTTTGTTTGAATGAAGAACAGCGAGGTCACTTTATTGTGGTTGGTTAATCCTTCTTGTTTGAATAAACTGTTGAAGGGTGTTTTTGTTTGATTGGTTGACTCTTCTGTAAAATTAAATGTGCTATTATATTTACATTCTAACTTGACTACAAATAGGACCTTAGGCACTATACTGTTTAGGACAAGAAAATGTGTCAATGATGAAAAACAAACGGAATTATTCTTAAAATTCGATTCTGAAAGAATGAAATATTTACATGTTCCAAAGAAATTAATCACCTCCAACCAACTGACTACCTGAATTCCCCATAAATTTTCGATTTAGGTGAATCTATGCTAAACTCTCAGTCTATCAATCCGGAAATATATCAATTAACTTTCATCTTGGTTTAGGTGTGTGAAATCATCGATACTATAACGTCATAATGTGCAGATTTGTTTGAGTACCTTATTGATAAGGTAATAGAGTAAAGAGTAATACCTTACCTTGTGTTTACTTGTTAGTGAAGGTGAAATATAAACAGAAGGTAAATGACCAGTTGCAATAGACTGGTCAAATATCTTCCATAAGAAACACCATAGATACGATTACTGATCATTTGGTCAGTTCTGATTATGTCGCTTCCCTACAGTCTTCTTTCAAAATTCTTTATAAAGCCAAGCCAAACAGCTCAAAGGAGGTGCCGTTTCCTCACTTATGTATAACAGAAGCATTTGCAATTCAATAATGAGAGCTCGAGCTCTGTGTATAGAAGAAGTACTTTCATTATTTTATTTTGCTGTGCTCATAATGCTTTCTACAGTTTCTTTAGAGTTTCTCTAGAATCAACCCAATATTTCACTCTACGACATCCTGTTTCGACAACCAAATATTGACCTTGTTGCTGCCGAAAAATCCTCCAAAATCAATAGCCTACGGTTCTGAAATATTCAACACTGATGCTGAGCTTCATAGTTTTAACTAACATGTTAAGCTAAAGTTAAACATTCAGGCATCCATATCACTTGCCACATTGTCGTGCTAGACTGCGCTGGTTGTACACTACCCTCTGACCAGGAAGTCAGGACTATATTGTGTTCTTTCTTGGTCTTATACTCGTGGGTTTATTAAAAGTAAGAATAATTACTGATTGGTCTCTGTATCTGTCAATTTCATGTAATAACAATTCCTAAAACTCAGTCTATAGTAGACTTGTGTTTGTCACATATTACTATAAATACGATTGTACAATTACTGAAAATAATTCGTCGGAAAGGAAATTTTCCTCGCTGAGGTACTTTGAGATTTCGAATGTTTTAATGGGATTATTTTAGTGAAAATGCATCGAATAGTATGAAAACCGGCAACCTGTTGATTATTATAAACTTCCATTCAGAATAAAATGAACACTAAGTTTAGGTAATATGATAAATAACAAATGAGGTAAAGTCATAACATCCTATTCTACATTGGAATAAAAGAGTTCATCATTTTATGCTGCCAATCACCAAAGTAAGTGTTGATGTAACCCAGGAGCTAGACGCTGAAAGGAACAAAACCCGTGAAATTGGTGGATATATTTTCATTTATCAACAGTCAAAATCGAAATTACTACACTTGATCAAATTTTTTAAGACTATAAAACTTTCATCTCTATTTTGCTTTTTTGAGTTTCATGAAAATCGTTTTAAATTTCCGAATTAATAGAATATCAAGCTGCTAATATCATATCGTTGTGTTGCGTAAGATCAGTTTCTGAGATAGCAGAGTCCAGTTTCTACTACCACAATGTTTTAAAGTGACTTGCCGGATAATGTGAATTCGACCTCAAAAAGAGCTTTGATCTTTTCAGTGCTGAATGTTCCGCTTAGTTACTATTGTCACGCAGAGAATGGATGTTACGAAAACTGAGAAGTTCGCAGCCCATTACTATGATTTCGAACCTGATAAAAACTTTATGTCATAGTAACAAGCATTGTATCTTGGTAGCTCTGAGGCTTTAAAAGTGGTGATGAATAATGGTGATTAGTGATCTGCTAACAGAATACTGGCAAAAGATAATTACGGTGCTTACACCATGTTAATAGTGCTCGTAAACTGGCAATACTAATTCTTGACCTATTGAAGATCTTGTACAACGGGTGATAGTTATTATTATTTATTGACATACTTGTTATCCTCCATTGTTTGGTTGAATTGAATTGTTCGACCTCTATTGGCATATGGGCTTCTATGCAGATGCCTAGATATTGCCTGGATCTTAATTATGATAATTTAGGGTGCAGGTTTATCCGTCTGATGAGTCCCAGATAGGACGAAACGTGCATCTTGGATTCTTCTGCTAACCACAACCGACCAAATTATCATAATTAACATTCAGGCAATATCGAAGCATCCGCATAGGAGCCCATATGACAGTAGAGGTCGAACAATTCGATCCAACAAAACAACGGAGAATAACAAGTATTGTATTTTTGAGATGAGTGGGGATTTTTAATTTAGAAGTAGTATTCATCATGGATTGATATCAGTTAGGGAACCATTGAAATTCTGGGAGCACTGGACAGCTGTTCCGTCCTAGTATGGGACTCCTCAGCAGTACACACCCATGACCCAGCTAGGGGTCGAGCTCAGGACCCCACAGCCGTGACCTGTGGGGTCGACCAGTCGGAAGTGAAGTGGATGCTAACTGAAGACCTTGGGTAACAGTCGCGCTATGTCGTGAATTGACAGAAGTTGGAAATTGTGAACCACCGGGAACCGACCGAGTGGCTGAATGGTTAACGCGTTCGCCGTGAGACCTGAAGGGCCTGAGTTCGACTCTCAGCTGGGTCGTGGGTGCGTACTGCTGAGGAGTCCTATACTAGGACGAAACAGCTGTCCAGTGCTCCCAGATTTCCAATGGTTCCCTAATTGATGTCAGTCCATGATGAATACTACTTCTAAAATAACAAGTATGTTAATAAATAGTAATATTGAAGATCTTTTCAAAATTCGCATTATCATAGACAAGAACAGTTTAACATAGAAAGAAAAATAAATCTCCTTTATTCTGAACCATAATTTTATTCATTGTACGGAATCTTCAGCATGTAATATTGCAGTAGTGTACTCACTATACAACATTTTAAAAATAAATTAACACCAGTAATAGCTTACAAAAGATTGTATATTATAACCGAATTCTTCATCTTCGTAATGATTAAAGGGTTATGAAAGTTGTTTGTAGTAAAAAACGTTGGTTAATAAGATTGTTTCAAATATGCTTTTCGATTGGAAGCGGCTTAAATGAAAATCAACATTTTAAGTTATCAGTAACTAAAGTAGAAGTTTCAAATTCCAACTTTGTTTCATATTACCGTATGGTTAAGAAAAACCTTATTGGACAACTTTGTCCTAAGGTTGGTAGATCAAATTAGTTAATTAACTTTTGACCTTGTAGTTTCATCTCCTCATGAAAACTGTATATAAATGACGTATCTCTGTCGAATAAAGTATCTATCTACCTTACAGTCACAGGCCAGTCATTGTCGATATATATTCGTAGTTCTGTGAATCATAAGGTACTGAGAAAGAACAGTCACTATTCTTATCCGGTTCAAGTGTCTAATCGTGTTAGCATCGTCCGTGCATTTCAAATTACCCACTCGGTCACTTCATTTCACACAATACACAAGCTAAATAAGGAATAGTTGAATTTCTGTATTTATTTGTACATGTATAAGGTTTAATGTAGCTGCTTCTTGTCTTCTCTGAAGACAGATAGAGAGAAAGCTACGAATAAGGTTGATGATCAGCATCGGATAAACTATTTGTGGCCGGCTATTTACAAGGGTCAAAGTGCCTTTTCATAACTGAGTTTATTAGTACGGTCAGTGGTGTACGGAACATTACTGACAGCCTTCAAAATTCTATGCAATAGAGCAGTTTTTCTCTGCAGTCATGGAAAGACAGTCAGATAGACAAAATCAGCGTAGAACCTCGTGCAAAAGTGTATTGCTTCAAGTTGCCACACTTCACAGTAGCAAGGAAAGAAGAGGAGGACGGAAAAAGACTGATTTCAAAGAAGACAAAGGTGAGTGGAGGGAGAATAAGTCTGCGCCATTTTGTAGCCGATTTTCAGCCTTGTCACCAAGAGCCTTCAACCACTGATTCACATCGTCCCAACGACCCCAGCCAGGTGGTCTGCACCTCCTCATATGGCTCAGACCAACAATCAGACTTCATGTATTAGTACCATGTCTTAGTCTGGTCACCTTGAATCCTCCTCCAACCTAATCCAACTTCCCCTAGCTCTGCACGTCAAGGTAGGCGGTGGCTCGGGATGCATAGTACATATCCAAGACATCTTAGTCAACTAAGGTTCATGGCCTCATCAACAGACTTAGCTGTCTTGGATAGTACCCTTCGCCTGACCTCAGCATTGCTGACTTCATGAATTCACTGTACACAAGCAATGCTGCGAAGACTTCTGATTTTACAACTGCGGAATCTGACCCGAAGCTATTGAAAAGAATATTTTTCGTTCATTTTTGACTTTTATTATACAAAATGGAAGTTTTTAAATGTTTAGTATGAAAGCGATGAACCTGTCAGCAGTTAACTTTAATTTTCATGCTTGAAACATCTACTACTGCAAGATTGCACAAACTGGAATCTTGAAAGATTTGGGGAAAAGTATTCAGCTGATCCCATAACGATATTTTTAGTCAGAAAGATGGGATTGTTACAATCTTAAACAATGTCCAATTATGCCAAATAATATTGATTGGTCACTGGATGGTGGCTAACTTCATGGTACCTAGTCCTAAACGCTGATCGAATTTTACAGGTCAATTCGTAATGTGGCCATCAGACAAAGAGACTGAATATTTGACAGATAACAATCGAATGGAGGCAATCAGCAGGAAGCCCTGGACCTTGTTTCATGTTTTCTAGCACATCTAAGAAGAGTTTATCTGCAACCTCCACGGAACTGATGCCTCGCCTGAGATTTGAATCCGCGTCACTCAGTATTGTAATCAGAAACGTTACTACCAAGCTAGTTGGATCACGATCGACCTCCTGGACTGATTACATCTCTGATTGCAGCGGTGGGTGACGTGGGTTTGAATATCAGGAGGGACACCAGTTCCCTAGAGGCTGGAGACATACCTTGCTGACGAGTACCGAAAAGCACGAAATATAGGTCCAGGGCTACCTGTCGACAACCCATGTCCAACTAACATCTGTGCCAAATTATTGAGTGCGATGAATTCCCATTCATTTATGGCTAACATATGAAGTAATCATGTAGGCTCCCAAGTGAAGTCTTATCTTCTGGGACTAACCGAAATTTTATGAGATCTAAGCAGTAAGCAGGACACTAGAGGGTAATTTCATTCAGGCTTCGAGTTGAAGAAATCGGTTAACTAAGGCAGTTGATTGATTTATCAATCTGTTCAGTCTGCTAATCATGGATGCCAGATTCTGAGTTACTTTCATGTTCATGAAAAATTTCAGTTCCATCAAATCAAGATTAGTTATTCAGACAGATTGTTAAAAGAAACAAAAAAATGTAGAATGAATTCCGACTTCAGCTAATCAACTAGGAAATTGACTAGGTAATCAACTGTATATAAAATAAAGTGCTTACCTTCAATGCATTCATGAGTATTCTTATATCATCCAAGTCACTGATGGGTCTTGATAAGATTTTATCGTATTTTTCAATCATGGTAAATAAGGATTCCATTTGTTTTTTGAACTTTGAATTACACAATCGTCCATATTCTAAACGCCAATTACTAGTTTCAGCTAGAAGACCATCTTTTAAGCGAGCTGTACTAATTGCCAATGGACTACAATCACATATTTCAGGTTCATTGATAATTAACTCATCCTAATAAGTAGACAGAATAACATTTGCTTGGTAAGAATGTAAATTTGTTTTATATGTAAAAGCACTTTGTTAGGTATGAGAACAGGGTGATACATATATTTTTTAAAAATGGGAATATGAATTTCATCCCAAAATAATCAAAAGGCATCATGATAAGCCAAGTTAAATTGTAATGACACAAAACTGCAACGTTTCTAAGATTAAAGAGTATTGCTCAAGATATCCTAGAAATGAAGTAAAGATGATTAAGTTTTAATAACAAGTCGAGTAACAACAAAATATTAATGAGCGGATTTTAATCAGGATGGGTATAGAAACAAGGAGTAGTTCATAATATGAATGAAAAGAAGCAGTTAGAAGAAAGAGATACGTTTTGAAATGCTAAAGATTAAGATCATGAAAGAAGCAATGGTTGAATAATCTACTATTGTATGCAAAGCTTCGGCTTTTCTATTTGAATTGTTACAACTTCAGGAATACAAAAGAAGTGGATGCGTACTGACTTTGGCAATTTTCTTGTTACTTTGTAAATAATTTTGAAAGACGTGGCCGTTGAAACTGAATGACCAGTGTTGACCAAGCGTTCCTTAATCGTGCTTCTTAAAAATCGGCTGTTGCTTCATTGTAGCGTCATAGAGTGTTCTTGAATCTTTTTGGACAGAATCTGCATCGAGCGACCGATATAACCGGCCCACGGGAGCAAGTGAATTGATATACATACACAGAGGTGGCCAGGTGGATTTTGTCTTCTAGGTTTTGCTAAGTAAATAGTGACTCTGAGTTACTGTGAAGAAAGTTCTCTTCAGAGAACTTGAAATCCTTCTCTTTAGGATATTGGCGTCGAGATTCATTTATAGTATCTTAGTCAACATGAAAACTGAATCATGTTTTGGCAGTCTCAGTTTGATGTTTTTACCTAAAAACCATGATGAATATCCCTTTCCCCCTGATAAACTGATGGCAAAAAGTTTTTACTCCTTCCCCTCTGTCACAAGTTATATGAATGATATGATTACTTGAAAAAAATCAAGTAGTCACGATAACGAGTCACGCAAACAGATAGATACGACGACACAGAGCCTAGCACAAAGTGTCAAAGTTCAAGTTTTAGTACAGTATGAGCTTAACTACTGATTAACACTACTCCAAAAACTTTATTTAGTTTATCTACACCTCTCATTCACAAACCGTTGACTAAAAATTATAATCTCAATGACAAGAGCGTAGCATAAGGATTTACAAATCAACGGTAACTAGTGAGTGGGAGAGGTTCATATTAACAGTACCCTGAAGTGCGTTTGCATGATTGACTTTGCAGCCAAGGTTTTTAAAATTTAGAGATGAAGCATCCATCTTCACAAGCGCATTTTCAGGACTGTAAATTTATTTCAACTCTTTAGGCTTATATATAACCATTATATGTAGTTAGTGAGTGAGATTTTTGTGATTTCAGATATGTTTTTCACGTAGACATAAAAAGAGTATATAGTGAATTTGAAACAACTGTGACCATACACAGAGCTGAACCCCATTAAAAAACACTACTTTTGGTCTCTCAGACTATACCTGAACTGCAAGCCATCAAAGATACTATCTAGTTGAAATGATGAAAACGATTTCCAGCCCATGAGCATGATGGTGATCCAGTGTTCTCTGAGCTTTGATATCTCGTTATGAACGTTTCGCCACTAGGCTCAGTGACACCTTCAGCACTAACTTCACAAAGAAGTTAAGCATATTCGAATATTACATGAATGTTTATTGACCTTGGATGTTGTCCAATTGTAAGTTGAGGAAAAATTTTTTGTATCACACTCTGACCTCTCTGACCTAAAATTTCCTTGAGTCACGTCATCAGATATTCCTTGTTCGAGTGAAATTTTGTTGGTTGTGTGTTGTCACACTGTGCATTATGATTGATCTATACAGCTAATTCACCCTTGGTTGATGGATGACTGCTTTCTTCCAAAGTAGATTGGGTTTACATCAGCATGTCTGTTGATTGATATTTGGTTTGAATGCTATGCCTCTAGAAATCTTCTTACAGCTTTCGAACCTGTTTTTTGAAGGATCTTCACGTTCTCCCAATCGAATTTGTGATCGTGATTGTCTGCATGCATTGAAACCAAGTAGATCACGTCATGTCGTTTCACCGCTAGTTGATGTTCATGATGTTCATGTTCAATCCGACGGCTAGACTGGCCAACATAATCGTGTGAAAAACTTAGGAAATTAATTTTATCGATTATATTTGTCCTGTCTTCTTTCGGCAATCGATCCTTCGGTTTGGATAGCATGCTGTGTTGTGATTTTATTGGTTTTTATGTTACGCTCATTCTGAAAGGACGAAGCAATCCCTAATTGTAAGCAGAAACATTTCTGCAAATAGTTTTTGGGTTAATGTACATTTTAATTTGCTCCATATAGGTCCGATGAATTCTTCTCTTACTACAACGGTCATATGATACAAGAAGATTAGTTTTGCGGCAGTTCTCTAGTGAATGTGAGCTTCGTAAACCATTATTACTTCAAGGCAGAGAATTATGACCTTTTCTAAATTGATAAGATTTTGTAAGGACTTTCTGTTCATTATCATATAGATGAAGAAAGGAACTGAAATAGTTTACTGTCACAAAATCAACTCCCTACAATTGTATTGTCTATAAAGTTTACTTAAAATGATTTGTTGATGAGGATTGAGGAAGTTGTAAAAAAAAGTATTCATCCTCATTTACTATATTCTACTGAAAGTACATCGACTAACGAAGGTAAACTTCCGGTTCAGCCCTATTGTCCTTTTGACAAAATAATTGTCTACTAGCAACCATCAAGACATAATTTATGAGTACAAAAAAAATGTTAGATGCAAAGATTTACTAATATATCATGGTTTACGAATCGAAAGGTGGCTGAAGTCGAAAAGTTGAGTGTTTTAATTATTCTAAGACCAGAGGATTTGCCTAGAAGATTTGGATTTCACCACCGATGATGATTTGTGTCTAGTGTCGCACAAACTCGAAGATGTACAGAAGAGACGAGGCAGTAAAGATGGGACATCCTTCAAGTGAACGCAGAAAAAACAGAGGTGATGAAGATACCCAACCAACAACAAGCATCAGTCACCACCGACGGGAGAAATCTAACGGAAGTAGTTTCTTTCGCCTACCTACCTACCTACCTAGGCAGGCAGCATCGTCTCAACTACAGGTGGCAGTGGCGATGGCGGTGGCACAGATGAGGACGTCAAAACCAGGATCAAAAAGACACCAAGACACGCCTTCATTAATTTGAAATCAGTGTGGAGATCTACTCTAATCAGGAGAAAGAACAAGATCTGGATTTTCAATACTAATCTCAGTTAAGTCAGTGCTTCCATGTGATGGTTGAGAGACTTGGCGCGTCACAAAAAGCATTTCCAACAAACTACAGACATACGTCATCAACAGCTTCTGCCTATGCTCACTGGCTCACTCGATACTGAAGATCAGATGGATGGACAGAAAGAGCAAGGAACTCTGGGAATGAACCAACCAAGCAAGAATCCATCGCTCAACAAGTATGCAGAAGGAAGTGGAGATGGATTGGGCATACACTGAGAAGACCATTCGGGGACATCACGCGCCAGGTCCGGCTGTCGAGTGTAAGCCAAAGGGGAAACGACGAGTTGGGTGTCCGAGGTGAGGGTGACACGGAGATGGTGTGAGGAAGAAATGAAAGCTTGTGGGCAGTTGTGGAGCCAGGTTGAAAAGACTGAAGGGAACACAGTGCATTGGAGACGTACTTGTGAAGCCCTATGATCCACTAGGAGCCCAAGGGATAAATGATAATTATATATATATATACATATATATGGTCTTGGCTATTTCCGGGTCTTTCTAGATTTAAATCCTAATGATTTTTCGTCTGTTCAACTAACCTGATACTTACATGTTGATTTACATGATTTTTCCCGAACGTTCGAAGCAACAGGATTGGTTGGAAAAGGCTTTAGGCGCACACGGTTTCTCATCAAGATTTCATCAATCTTTCTGTACACCGTAAGAATTAAAAGCGTCAAGGATGACACATGCTAAATATTGAATTCAAGCACTGTTAATCAGCAATGAGCAGTTATTCAGTTTTGAGGTTTGTGGGGATTTATTGATTTCAGGATATTATTCATCATACACTGGCATCATTTGGAAAACCACTGTAAACCTGGGAACACTGGATGGCCGTTTCGTCGTAGTATGGGGCTCCTCAACAGCGGGTACTCATGACCACCTTGAAATCAGTAAATTCCTACAAAGCTTCAAACTGAGTTACTGCCCAACGCTTATTGTTCATATGGTTGGAGGTGAATTTTCCCGAAGTTCTAGCAAGAAGTACCAACTGGTAGGGCAAACCAAGTGAGGACAAATACTCAGCGATGGGGCTGGATGAAACTTTCGTTATAGCGCGAATTGGCGTGAGTAGGAGAATATGGACCATTGTATTCCATACCAGTGGCTCAGTGGTGACGTGCTCGCTGCAAAACCCGAAGGTCGTCGGTTCGATTCTTGAGGAATCCCATGCTAGGTTGAAACAATTATCCAATGAAGCCACAAAATCCTGATAATTACATTTCAGTCTGTGTTGCTGATGTAACTGTACAAGCAAGTTATCGGAGGAGGAGTTATCTCTCGTTTAGTTTCATAGGAGAATTGAATCGCACTGCTCTTGAATAAAATCAGTTCAACACCTCATTTTTTCTTGGGTTGACTGTCAACATTAGGATACTCACTTCCATAATTTTATAGCTAATGGTGTGTTTTCACGTAAAGCCATTTAAGCATTGAAAGAAAACACGGAATCAAGTAAAGGCCTACTGATGGTTCTGAAATTTAATTAAATTATAGCACGCAGTTCGATGAATATTAGATAGTAGCTCGATAGCCGAAACATTTCAATTAATTACCCTAGTGATATCATGCGAAAATACGGAGTGACTTTAAAGTCCACCATAGTAACTGCTGAAGAGACCAATCACGCTTTGGTATTTCGTCTGGGAAAGTACTTTTCATAAAATAAGGGAATGTAATTGGCTCTCACCATTTGCAAGGGTGACCTTTGAAGTCACTTAAAATACATCCCAGAAATAGTCTATGGCTTTAGGAGCTTTGCATAATTCAAAGTAAAAAAAGCAGTAGGCCAGCAGTATCATACGGAAGACAAAAAAAGACAAGCCATTAATGATGGATTCCATGTGACAGATTATTTCAATTCGAACAGTCATTTAGAGTACCAGCGTTAAAAACAACTGCCTCACCTTACCTAGACCTCCCTCAATAATATGCATGTACTAAACGCAAGACGATCACAACTTGACGAGGTTGAAAACAGTACCCCTTTGTAGACAGTGTTGTTAATTAAAAGCTCATGTGACAACTGTGAGAAACAGGGCAGTGTTTCTGGAACGTTTCATGATTCCTTACTGGTGAACTGTTTTAGAATATATTGATCAACAAATCGTGCTCAAAACTTTCCTTTCATACAACAGAAAATTCTCTAACTAACAAGCTTGTTAAAAACTGCTCACTTGAAATGTTTATATGAGAATTTATGTGAGCGAATGCTATACAGCTTGTAAAGCAACTTTCTTGAATAATATACATATATACCGTACAGCTGATATCATTGAACAAGACAACTAACTTATTCAGCTTACTTCTGCATAGAAATTCTGAATAGCTTCTTCGAAATCAACCACAGAAGGATTATTCATCATGAATTTATTAAACTCTTCAGTCTTTGACTTTTCCCACAATGGTTTATATCGGTCGAATCGTCGAAGAGATGATTTGATACTCTGTGATGAAAAAAATTGTAGAATTCATTATATCCTTGGAAGAAACCGCTGAAGTTCTGATGAGCGTGTCAAATTACTGTTTAAAAAAAACTGACAAGAATATATTTTGTTTGTTTTAATGAATATGAAGACAATAAAAGTGCGTTTACCAAAAGAGATCATAAATACAGAAGAACAAAAGAACCCTTTTGTTCCTTCTGACTAGACCTGTTAAGCAAACAAATGTGAGTTTGCTCCGTGTGTCATTACTCATAGAGTAAAAAACCAACTGGCAGAGACTAGTTAGTGAAAGGATCGCTAACGGGATAATACTAGGCTGGTAATATGAAAAATAGATGGATTTAATGGATAGGCTAAAAACAGTCTGATCACGGTATTTGATTGGAGAAGACAGTATAGCAAGTCATTAACATCAGTCTACAGATTGTTTAAAACACTTTTGCCTAGCTCTTAGTCCTTACTGAATCCTCTTGTTTAGTGTAGTAACCAATCTAAGCGAAATGACTTTGTAGAGCTTTGTCTGTCGCTTTCTTCAGTTGGATGCACTCAGGTGAGAGCCTCGGAAACAGATTTCACGCAACTTTAAGCAAAGCCAAAACAATCTTGAGAGCAATCGAAAAGTCACCAGTGGAGTATAACATAAAAAAAATAAATGAGTTGCTTGGGTACTGCTAAGAATTCATCTGACTTTAAATTATTTTCCTCATAAGCCCTAACAAGTCGGCAAACAACTAAGCGGTGGAAACTGTCTAATCCAGTCTCGTAGTAGATCAATCACGACCTGAATAGCTCAGAGTTAACTTCGCTGACTACAACACTGGGTGATGCAGGTTCGAATCTCAGAGGGTACATCACTTCCCTCGAGGTTGCAAATCAGCCCTGCTGACGAGTGACAACAAGCACGAAACCTAGGTACACGGCTTCCTGTCGATTGCTTTCAACCAACTAATAGAAAGCGTCTTGTCATCTTATCTTACAATATCAGTATTTGACAGCAAGCATTTCAGATAGATACATTTCCTTAATCATTTCCAAATTTGTTTTAGTTTCTGATCAACACTTCAACGACATTTAAAAACACATATGACCTGAAAGATTTAATATGTTGAACATTATCCTAGGTCAGTGCCCAAAAAAAAACAGGAAACATAATTACCCAACATGAAATGATATCAGAATAATGAAGGAGGATATGATTGTAGAAAGAATGGTTGAATGTAGAGAAAACAAGGCGTTAAGAGTCCTATGTAGGACATAAAGTGAATGAATTTGAACAAATGCGATAGATTGTAAACTATTTCTCCAAAGATTGGTTCCTAACGCTATGGAGACTTTAAACAGGAATATTACATTTTTCTAAGACCTCATGAATTCTGCATTGTTTTAGCTTGATATGCCTTAAACTTTTGCCAAAACAAAGCTTACTTTAGCAATCCTCCTATAATAAGACTGATAACTTCATTGACTGGCTTATTTTACTCAGCTTAACTCTAGGTCTAAAACGGTATTTAAGAACAGATTATGTGGATAAACAAGTTAACATATGGTGATAAGACCGTCCCTTCTGATAGTATTTTTTCGACTCTATTATTTGAGGAGTATAGTACAGTTACCAAACAAGTTATCATAGCAAACTGTCTAGTATTATATATTACGTTATATATGGTTCTTACTTGAATAGCAACCGTAAATGACTGAGTTAACCATTCGAAACCTTAATGCTCACATTGAAAACGGAATTTCGTTCACAGAAATACAATATATATGTATAGCTTACCTCCTGAATCGGTGACAAAGCACTGGTAAGCATTGCTCCAAGTTTATTTATCTCCTTATTTTCAGAAATTTTTTTTAAATAGTTGCCGTGGTTTCGATTTTCGTCTTCGCCTTCAGTATTACCGGAATGATGGTCCAACATATCAGGTAGTGGTTCAAGGACTTCAGATGACTCAGCCACTTCTCTAGCCCAGTCATTACTTAAACGTCTAGATGAACTGTCACTCTGACTTGCCTTTCTTGTTTTTTGAACAGATTGTGGACTGTCTTCAACTTCTGAGTGTTCCTGCAACAAGAGAAATTTTATTGTACGAAAGTGCATTTCATAACTGGAAATGAAATTGAGAATCAAATCAAAATGCAGTCAGCAACCACACACATGCTCATGCAGAAGATAAAGCACCATATCTATTAGTGATGATTAATGATACTAACTGAACGCCCAACCCTCAGTAGGTGGGGCGGGCTTCGAACCTATGACTCATTGGTTGAAAGTCAACTCCCTACATTATTGAGCTACAGAATAAGTTCGCGCATGGTTTTCGAAGGTTGACTCTCCTCTTCAGTTATCTATTTATCTGGTGTATCAATTGAAATCTAGGTAAGTAGTTTACTAATATCAGTTTAGTTTGGAAATTATTACAACTTTAAAAAGAATGAGAATTTACCGAAACAAACATTTTACTTATCTTCTTTGGTTTATTAAGGTTTCAGTTAACTAAATTATTACATACGTAACACTAATATGCCTAAGGTATTAGGAAATCATTTTAACTAACGTATGAAATGTATTTGTCTTCCAATGGATCCTTCCGGTACTTTAGGAAGGGAAGAATACAATGGGGACCGTATTGGACCAAAAGGTATCAACAGTAGTTTTAGTAGCAGCTATAAACTCAATGTAATCAATTCTTGACCATCATTTCTTCCAAAACATATGACTAGATAAGACATTTTAACGAACGAAGAATATGCTTTCTAATAACTTTAAGTTTTACAGTCCTATGTCCATATTTGGCATTAATGGTAGATAGTGACTAGCAGTGAAATCCAAGTAGTGCGTTTCGTTTAATAAACCAAGGCTATCTTAGGTAGTCGAAGTGATAATCAGTATGATGCTACCCCTTTCTAATTCAAGTAGATTTTGATGAGAAGTCCTGACTGGGCAGCCAGTGTAAGTATTATTAAGCGATAGTAATGCGTCACGAATACATATGGCAGTCAGGCAAAGCCGTTAGTGATTGAAGTAAATTAAAAATCTGATCAGAAACCTGGTGATCGCTGGTTCGAATCCTGCCGCGGCCTAGATTTTGATTTTCTTTTCAACAATCATCTAGTATCAAAAAAATTTTGGACTACAAAGCTTTTATTAAAAGCGGCTGTGAAATTTGTTAATAAATTCTGAATGGTGCATCCATTTTGGCATTTGTCCCTCCTTACTCTATTCACTTCGCCTCAATTGAATAGAAGCGATTCGCCTAACTCGAATTTTATGACATACGTAATTGAAAGTTTTGTGTGTTTTCACCAGATTTAAGAGTTTATCATCATAAGTCACAGTTGTCTGTGTGTCACTGACAACAAAAGGATGCTGACATGTGTTGTTGTATTTGGAAACTAACATTTAGAAATCTAAAGTCATAAATATGAAGTGATAGTCAGTTGAATGGCTTTTTGAAACATTTTATCATTCGCTATTCGTCAAATTACTCCAAGCTACTCACCATCGAAATAGGGTTGATTTATATGTAGGAGTATCGTCTCAAAGTTAGGTGATCCCTATAATTGTCAGTTTTAATGAGCAAAATATCCACCAACAAAGCTTTACAGTCACTTTTTGATTACATTAATTATCATTGAATGCAGATGTGATACACCTCGTAAACATCAGTTTTAAATAACAACAGATAATGACTTACCCCTAAACCAGATGGATTACGCAATCTCAAATCCCATACTGATATGTGGCGCGTAACAGAGATTACCAAGTGTGTAACAGTGTTTAGCGCTTTTTGAAAATCATCAAGAGACGGGTTTATTACGATTGCCGGCAGGCATAACTGTGCCTCGCACGAAAAATATAGTTGTGCAGATCCATCTGGATTCAGACTATCTTGAATGATAAATAGAAAGCGTTAATGCATATGCATTGATCTGCTTTTATTTTAACAGTTTTTGATAAAAAAAATTTCACTTCATTGCAAGTAAACACTATTCATCATTCATTTTATGGAAAAATTACTTGGTTAAAATCATTATTTAGGAAACTGGCCTTATTTCAACAAAAAAGTGAATGAAGAATCGCTATTGATTAAAGAACCGCTTGAAATTGAAAGCCACTCTACAGCTGTTATGTTCTAATCTCATATGCACTATACATTTCCAGTCACATTTTACACCTCAATAATCACTGGGTTTCATAAAAACATAGTGACCTGAAGCATCGGTAAACATTTTACTAACTTGGTATCTGTCTGGGTCAAAGCTTACAATGACATCCTGGTCACTGCCCATGGTGAGAATGCAGAACTCATGAATATACTTATTTTCTCACTGGTAACTTGTACCAAACTTTTCTATATAACTGTTACTTTGACCTCGGCTTCCACAAATTGAACAACTCTTCCCTGCCGGAATTTCGAAAGCTGTACAGATCTGTTCAGAATGATCGACATGGTTACCTTAACCAACTGACATCATCTGCTATAATCTGACCAGTAGTTTCATTTTTATTCCCCTACCTCTGAGTAGGTGATCTCAGCTTGTTCCTCCGATCGTCAAAACAAAATCTATATAAATACTCATGAAAAAAAAAAATCAAAATCACCGCCTACTTAGTCATAGTAGATCACCTTAAGGCATGTTATAGAGCACTTACACCAGAACATTCACGACGTAAGCTACAGTTAGTGTCTGTCATAAGTTTGAAGTCCAACTCTAATAAATTAAATAGTTCATAATATGGTGGTTAGCGTGTCTGTAACAAAAAGTAGTCTGTGAACGCACTTCATTAGATGCATAACACAGTGGAACAGTATTATTTACTGGATTACGGTTCATATACAACTTATTCTCAATATTCATACCAAGATAAATTCATAACTTCAAAATATGGTCTCTAATTCCCTCTCCTTCTTTGCGATAAGGCTAGTAAGATTTTTCGTATATCCGGAACAACTGTAAAGTCATTCCTGTTGCGTGTATTAGGTGTTGATTGGACAATGAATCCCGTTATCAATCACTCCCTCCACCCCAACAGATTAGTTATGAGGGTTTTCAAACTGGAAGCAGAGATTGATAACTGAATCTTTGTTCGTTAGGTCAACACCTAATAAATGCAACAGGAATGGCTCCGCATCTGTTCCGGATAAACTTAGAATCCTGCTAGCCTTATCACAAAAGAATGATAACCGTAGAAATCATGTTTCAAAGTTGTGAAATTATCTTGGTATGAATATGGAGAATAAATTATATCTGAAACGTAATCCATTGAATAATACTGTTCCACTGTGTGATGCATCTAATAAATAATCTAAAATGGAATTACATTTTACCATAGTGCCCAAGTATTAGGCTTATGTTAAGTCTGTAAACGTTCAGACAGCTGATATTATTCAGAGTAAAGTAGAAACGAAAAACTGCCTCAGATTTTCTGAACATGCGCCAAAAAGCTTACAACTCAGAGGCAGCAACATCGTAATCACTCGGTATCTGATTGACACAGGACACCATTTGTACGTATTCAAGGCTTTCAAGATGATTAATAAACATACTGGTTCAAGCCTCATGCGTTACTCTGAAGCTATAACCATCAAATGCATGAAACCATATCATTTTGTGTCCTAAAAGAAGTCACCCTCAATCTATCTTTGCCAAACTTTTGCTTGCTTACACAAACCTCCCGTTAAATCTCATTCTTATTTGATTATGTCATCTTTTCTTCAACCTGATATGTTCATATTAATTGAGTTGGGCTGATTACATTTTACACTATTTATTTTCAGGTTGGAATTCACCATGAACTGACATCATTTGGAGGAACACTAAAAATCTGGAAGCACTGGATAGCTGCTTCGTCCTAGTGTGGGGATCTTCGGCAGTGCGCATCCATGACACCACCCCACCAGGGATCCAACCAAGGACCTTCAAGTTCCGCGGCAAGCACCTTACTATTGAGCTACTCGGTCGGAACCCAGTGGTCAATATTTCCCACTTCTGTCAGTTCGTGATACACCCCGACCTGCATCCAATGTCGTCGTTGAATAACTGCCCTAATGTTCAACTAAGTTGATTCCACTGGTCCAGACTTCTCACTGGAACTTTTGGGATCACCTCTTGAAGCTAGTCACCAATGAGCGCTAGATTAGTTCAACCTAGAGGTCTGTGGAGATTTATTAGTTGATTTCAGGTTGGAATTCATCATGAATGTGCACTGCTGTGGGGTCCCATATTGGGACGAAACAGCTTTTTTTCAAGTTCCAAAGCCTATAGTATTGACACTTCACATTCATCATAAGTACAAAACTAGGGAGAAAACAGTTAAACAGTTCTCTATAGTTTTCAGTAGCCCACCAGTTCAAATGGCCACTCACCAAAGGAACAAAGCAATAAAAGATGAACAGAAACAAAATGACATAAGCAGCATCAAAAAGACGGAAGTGAGAAGAGAGTGGATATGAGAGTCATTGTAATCGATTTTCAACCATATCGTCCGGTCACTAGAGCGCAAAACCTCTTTTATGCAGTTCTTATGATTCTGGTGGTAGAACATTTTGCTGTCTGTAATCATTTTCACTATACATTTCGGTTGTTGATTCTATGAAAGAAAGTTCAGTTACCGGTGTGTCTGTTCACCATCCTTTATTTGTGCTTTGATCCAATAATTACCTTCTCTATATTGTATGATTGTATCTCGGTGCATTTACAGAGATTTCTGGGATTTCCGTGTACCAGTGGTCAGTGATTCGAAATTTGGTTGAACAGTACGAATTAATCACAGTAACCACATTCAGGTTCGTAATGGTAGACTCTAAATAAAAGCCCACTTTATGAGAGCTAATGTCTAAACCTGGCTGCAGAGCTTTAACAGCTAGAGTAAACTCAGAAACAAGACTGATTGATGGAGTATCTAAAAGCCTCAGTCACAGATTTCATTTGGAATTATATTAAAGTTCAAGGCTTTGGTATTGAGTGATTTTAAAGGTCACCATAACAACGGTTGAGATAACTAATAACAGTTCTTTATTTTACTAAGAAATAATTTCCCAGATGAAATACCGAAGCTTGGTTGGCTACTTCAGCAGTTGCTAGAGTGGCCTTTAAAGTCACTCCGATTGTCCTAATCGCAGCTTTGAAATAACCTCGTCAAAACTTATCATTACAAATTTATAAACTAAACTGTTTTGTCTAATACGTTCTTTGAATCTGTCAGTCAAAAAGAATTTTATTTGAGTTTGTAGGTTCGCCGGGCATTCCGATCTTACTCTTGTTGAAAATCGCTACTTGGTATTCAAACAGTTAACTCTATTAACGTTAAGAAGCTTCAACCGGTCGATAAAATGTAGAATGACCGAAAATCTAAACATTTATTGAAGTGTGATAACTTTTGATAAAAGAAAATCCTATAGGTATAAGCTTTTACTTCATTTCATTTCGCTATCCAGAATAAATGATTCTACTTGGTTACCATCTAACTCATAAGTAAATGGGACTATAAAGTTTGCGCATATAAAAGAAAGCTTTCTATAGGCCCTCAATATAGTAACTAATATATTAAGTTATTCTCCTCACATACTTTGGAGGTAAGATAGAATAACCGTAAGGCAAACACTTCCGAACAGTTCATATAAATATGTGGTAATTTTCGATGAAATTATTCATTTTTCTGCCTCTTAGAATGGCAACTCATCTTCAAATTTGAAGGCTGTAAAAGTTAAACAAGATTTTTCTTCCAGAATGGTCTCCTTGACTGATGCTTAGGTTCCAACGTGAAACCATGATCAATGAGTGAATTTTTGTCTGTTTTATGAGGCATATCGACTGGTATGTTTGCGTGGAGATCCACTTTTTTAAAATAGACCATTTTCGTATATATCTGCACGCTATTTAGTCTTTTTTCAGCTTCTATGAATTCTTCGGCCTAGACATTAGAATAGATTAAAGAGTTAACCCAGTAACTTCAGATATATATCCTTTATGATATTGTACGGAAAGTAGTTTTTTGAATACATTTGAGAATAAATAAGCGATTAAACAGTGATATTTATTGGAAAAAACTGAATTTCTCTCGAACATTACATATGTATATTTTACGGTTGGTCTAAATAACCTTTTACATCCAATCAGATTTCGACTGACATTTGTACTAGAACATGAATATTTAAGTTTAGACAGCTCGCTGTATCTGGCTCCGCAATGATTGAGCTTGATGTATTAGATTGATACATTCCCTGACTATTCTATCACTTTAATTCATTAATTTGACGACAGGAACAGCAGTAAAAATATCATCATAATAAACAGGATCTCATGTTCACAAGTAATCATTAATAATAAACTTCATTAAGCAGTCAACAACTTACCATAAGCTAAAATTGAAGGGAGAGTCAAGCATTTACGAAGATTTTCCAGTGTGTTACGAACTAATTTGCTTAACGTTTCCACTGTCTTCTGGTGAAATTGCTCCAGTAATCTTAGAGCAGCCTCTTCAACTTGTCGTTTACGGCGTTCTTTTGCACTTCGTGCCACTGGAGTTCTCCAACGTCCACTTGCTAAATAAGTGTCAAAAAACAATTAGGTGTAAAACCTTCAGTATCATAAAGCCTCCCCTGTGAATACAAACAATAAAAATGCAAAAACGTTTAGTAAAACACATGATTGAATTATCGTCGATAACGTTTTCTTCAATACTGTTTCGTAAAGTTGATTCACAACATATTGTATGACTAAGACACATGAACGACTATGATTTTGATAATGTGTTCAGTTCTCATATCAACTAGTACACAAATCTGAATACATTTCAGTATAAAACAATAGCCTATTAGTGTTAAGAAGTGATGACTACACTTGCTGGTTAATTAGTGGTAGTTTGATCGTTTTTCGTTGTAAATGATAAAGACAAATGACCAAATTTGAAAATCTATGTCCCTAAAATATTCACCACCTTCTACTCAATTGATAAGTTCAGATCTGTAGTTTTCAAACAACGATGTTTCTCTGCCATAACACTCTTATTTATTTCAGCATTATGTAGATGATCATTATCTTTTCATGTTGACGAATATGCACATGAATTCACACAATTCCCTACCCAATAAACTCTGAAAGTGATTAACTGAGTCGAGCTAGGTAACGTGGTAATCTCTTCAACAATTGTATGTAGCTACTGATCTAAACTGTTGTTAATATAATAAAAGATAGCATTTAGGCACTCACACAACCAATTTGCCAATATGGATTGATCAGTTCCATGTAGGAGACAAAACAATCGAAATCTTTCGACTAATATCACAAGTTAAGGTCGTTTAGAAAAAGGTAATTACCTTAACCTGGTGGCGCTAGTCTCTAAAGTAAGGGGAGCTAATTTCAGGTACAGCTGGAAGTAACAATATGAACTAGAATACTGACATATCCGGTCGAAAAGTAGTATCACATAAAATGACATTCTTATGAAACCGCTATAAAAAACTAGGCGACTAACACAAAACGCATGACGTCCTAGTATTGGTCAATAAGCAGCTTTTGTGAGAGGAGAATACTAAAATTCGTGCCATAATATTCTCGAAGTTCACTTTTTATTTAGGTAAACCATTTGTGGAAACGTTAAGTAATGACTGTACTGATCATCACCGTCCTCTGTACTACTTTGAATGTATAAGATACATCATAGGTGGTTGGTGGCCACTTTTCTTGTAGGATTCATTGTTTTTTTTAAATCAGCAAGTAGTAAACGTTAGCATCAGATATAGGCTTTATAGTATGTAAATTAAGTTATTCAATCACTTTTCTGAGAACCATGGTGTACTCATTATAACCTGCTTTAGTCCAAAGTTCTAGTTTGAATAGAAGCAATGATGAAAATCCTGGAAACATGGTGACATTTAATGCATTTAATTCAGTCATACAGGAGGTCAGTCGCCACCCGAACAGTTCAGTGGTAACTTCTTTGACTGCAGCACTGCGTGACACCAGTCAGAACTCAATAGAGGACACCAATCCCCTTGAGGTTACATATACGGCTGGGTGACGAGTGTCAACAATCAGGAAGCCTAGGTCTTAGGTTTCCTGGTGTAGGCTTCCATATAATTTTAAAATGATTGATACGGTTGGGCCCAGAACTAAGGACTGGTTACTATCCAATGACTAATCCAGTTCCAAACTAGGTCAATGGTGGGCCATACTTTGTTCTGCCAAACCAAATTTCTTTTCATCTAGACTCTGTTTACTTAATTATTCAATCTCTTGTAAACCTAAAACTTTTTGAATTTAAGCAGCCTGCAGTAATTATCTTCCACGTAACTGTGAACCTTCTCTGTCATTAATATTCTTAAATAAACGTTCAAACTTCGTAACCATCTCCTCGACTTTAAACATCTGCATTATCTATGTTGCCGGTTCATCCTGTCAATAACGTCTTGTCAACCTTATAAAGGTATAATTCAGTTCTTATAATACGTACATTTTGATATTATTCTGGTTGTAAGCAGTTGAGAAGAACCTGCATATTATGCTGCTACAAATCTTATTTCTTCAATGTTCAAATCTAATCAGTATGTGCCAGAATCAAGAATAAAGGTGATCCAAATCATGACTGATGAACAATATTGTAGTGGAAGGAGAAAATTTATAAATTTTCACCAAGAAAGTGAACTCACTCACCTGAATACGCTGACTCTGGCAGAGAAACTGTTGATTTTCCTGATCGTGTAATACGCGGCGAATTTTGATCGTCTTTCTCTGCCTCTTGGATCAGCTGTAATCGGTACTCACCACAAAGGATATCAATCAATTCATGCACCGCATCCTGAATAATTTGACTCTTAATCTGTAATATTTGTCCAGCCTGACTACACAAGTACTTAGTGTGTTCTAGAAAGTAATCTATACTCCAAGGTTCTGAATCACTTAATTCACATAAAGTTACTTTAGATATTTCCTCTAAAACCTAAGAAGTAAAACAAAAAAAGAGTTACGCAAGGATAGGCATAAATATCATGTAAGACAATAAAAGTAATTCAAACCACCAGGAAAGAGTCATTACTACGGTGGCCTGCTTGAACCTTGGGCTACCAAAATTATCCATCGAACATTTTTTATCCAATTCTTTCCTTTCAATTAGTTTTAATCATTAAAATATGTCCTACGAACCTATCATGTACTCTTGGATATTTTTAAACTGTTTCGAACTCTCCGTTTCTCGAGTCAATAACAAAGCAGAGAAAAAATGTTACGTTATATGGAAATGGACTTTTTGGTGCAAAAAAAGTACATAATATTTCTATCCGTCAGGTGCTTAGCTTGAGTTGTACACTTTTGTACCGCCTGAATGAACAGTCACCACCAGAATTACGCTTGCAATTCTGTTGATTCTTCATTATGGACCGGACGCCCATCCAGAACCAACTGGTTATTTCACATAATTGCCTTGAATACTGTTATTATTAACATCATGCATATGCAATAACCGTTTCGTCTGAAAGTATTGTTCTGGGATGAATTCATTGAAAAATTACGTGCTGAGAATTCCATACTGTCATACGTATTGTTTGGAACAAAGCGATTATTATCATTATCACTATTATTGTTCATCTATGAGGTTTCTAGGTTGAAACCCGTCTGGTGCATGCATACATGACCAGATGGATGTTGATAGCCCCAACGGCCGTAAATTCGGTATAGCCTAGAATACCTCTGCTTGTCACCTAAATTAGCTATCACACTATCTATAAGATGTTTCTTAGATAAATCATCAGAACTTACTTATCAAACAAACTTTCAGAGTCAGAAATAAACAGTAGTTAAATGGCTGGATCGAGGCTAGTTCATCTTCATTCTGTACCACTCAGTTAGACCGCCAGAGGAGTGTTCATAAGTCACACTATACATTTTTCATCTATTATTACCGATAAAACATCTAAATTTTTAGCACTGTAGAGGATAGGTTCTGTCGAAATTCAATTCATGCTGGTTTGAAAGGTAATTTTTATAGTTTCAATGACCAAAATTGTAACCATGATGAATGGTTTTTTGTCTGAACTAATTGTGTAGCAGATAAATAATGATGTCCACAAGAAACACTAGTTCAAAATTAACCGTATATTTTTGGCCAGATTGAACCAAAAACTAGGACCACCGTCTTACTAGTAAACAGAATTTATTGGAGATTTTCACCATGCTCTGGTTACATCCATACTTTACAGCATCTACACCTCACCTCTGTGAGCAGGAAGTGATACTAAATTTGTCGATATGTGTTATTATTTAATTAAATCTAACACAAGCTGACACAATACCTAGGCAGCTGATAAACAATCAAACACGAACAAACGTTAGATGAAGACGGTAGTAAAGCATAAAGATGTGATTTAGAACACTTATTGCAAAACAATTCCTTCTGACACACTCAGATTATGAGTATGAGAAAAATCAGCTACAATACATATTAGGTGGAATTTTTCCCTAAAAGACCGGAAGCAAAGTCACCAGTCAGAAAAAATTTCGAATATTTGTGTTCATGAGCGAAATTCATACAAGAGAAACGTTAGACTATTTTACGCACAATATGACTATTGAAAACTGTAAGCTGTACCGCGCAAATTCTTTTAAATATTATTCGTAAAAAAAGGCTACTGTTATCTATAGATGGATCAATTGATCTAATTTTAACGGGCTAGCTAGAATCGAATAAACGTAGGATCTATTAAGTAAATAGGTTGCACATAATTTTGAGAACAGGAGACATTCATAAAAGTTAGTCTCAATAGTAAACGAAAGATTGTATCACGTTCTGCTTTGTTAAGAAAACGATATATTTCTAGGGGTACGTACTGAGGGATCACCGGAAAATGCGTTTGAAAGCGTTAGGAAATATCCCTCAACAAACGGCTTCAGAAATGATCGTGCACATTTGCTGCTTGGAGCAGCATAAAAGAACTCTTTTACTGTATATTGTATATTTTCGCATAAATTAGGATTCATTGTTTTGCTTCTGACAGCTTGAAAGATGCACGCGCCAAAGCACATAAATTGGGAGAACAAAAACAATGGTTCTTGTTGGCATTTTTTTAACACTTCCTGAAGAAATTGAGTCTACGGTGTCCACAGGTTTCAAAGGACATAATCTCTCAGGATTTATTTCGTACCGCACATAATGTTGCTGTGACGACGAAGTTTAAAGTAACCAATCAACAACTGAAAGACTCATACTTACCCTTAGTATTCAAAACCAAGCAAATATCAACTTTGCTTTATCTAGGTAACTTTCATCTATTAAATTTTCAACTAAAAAGTTTCATAACTCTCCGTTTCCTTTTTTTCTCTTTCAACCTACTTCAAAACCTACTCTCAATTTCTAAGCTTATTGCTCAAAATAGAATTCTGTTGACCTTTTATTATGTGTTGAGCTGAGTTCTCTGAGATTAGCTGCTTAACCATGGAGATTTCATCATCTTCCTAGACAACACCATGAGAACTAACTTCAATATGAAGTGAGCTGTTAATAAATACCTCTCCATCATTGAGTTCGTATCTTGCCCTAATGAAATGGTTTGTAGTTGGTTGTTGTTTCAATGAATGCATGGGTTTTCTGTTGGCTGTTTTTCTGTCTGACGTTTGAACTTTTGTTGCTCAAAATTTTGGTTGGTTGATAAATTAGGTCTTTGTCAATATATCTGACATTCTGTGTTTTTTCTGTCTAAAATTTCTACATTGTCAAAATTGATGAGGTTGATCACTCTGTCCAATGCAGTGCTGATTGCAGTTATTGCAGCTGATTTTGTAAATGATAATTGGTTTGTTTTTTTTTGGTTCCTGCATCCTTTGGTCTACATAAGATGGTTTGAAGGAATTTAGTTGGTTGATGAGCCACACCAATTCCGAATCATCTCAGTAATCTGGTCAGTGTCTCTGATATGTTCTTTATGTACCGGTAGGATGATTCGTTTGTTGATCACCTTGGATAACTTTGTAGTTGATGATAAACAAGACAAGAATCTTTGAATGAAAATTCGTTCTTCTTTAGAATAGACACCGAATAATTTTCTTCATTTCTCCTTGAAGTTGTTGTACTGCAGCGCGTTTCTGCTCATTTAAATTGAGTGCACTGTTAGGTTGTTACTATTCTAGTTGAGGATTTCATCAGTGCGCGCTGACTTTCTGTACACATAAGTTTCCGATTTTCCGGCACTGGTTCTATTGACTAAAACATCTAGGAATGGCAGTCGGTTGTTCGACTCCTTCAATCAATAGGTGCATAGACAGATTCAATCTATCAACCAATAAGTCAAATGATAAACAACAAAACGTCAGAAGTTAGGTAGAAAAACAGCCAACAGAAATATCTATGCAGTCATTGAAACAACAACCAACTACAAACCATTTCATCAGGGCAAGCTACTAAATCACTGACGGAGAAATATTTATTGATACCTCACTTCATATCGAAGTTAGTCTTGATAGTGTTGTCTAGAAAAACAATGAAAGCTCCACGACTAAACCTCCAAGATTAGAGAACAACACACAACCAAAATCCTTCACCTGAGCTACAAATATTCTCCACCATTTCAACACATCTTTGTTTTCTTAATCATAAACATTATATTCTATAGGCTGTACAGCAGCTGACGACAATCCAAGAAATACATCTATGCTAACTCTGTTGCTGTTGTTCTTCTTGCTTCACTCAATTTTCTGAATAGGAAGAAATGTATGGAAATTCCTTTTTTTCGCTTACTTGTTCAATCCGATATTTTTTCAGATCATTTGCACGTTCACATAGTAATTTTAATTTATTTATGTAGACTGTAACGCTTTCAATGAAGTTATCAATGCCCAAACTTGTCCAATTCAGTAAAGATAAACCAGGTCTTAATAAGCTTTGCAGATAAGCAAATTGTGCACGCATTAGATTGATGAAGGATGGATCTAGATTGGTCTTGATTTCATTTATGCTCGTTAACATGAACTAAAGGGTTCAGAGAATACAGGCAGAAAATTTACCATCTAAACATTGTTAGGTTATTTGGAACAAAAAAATAATACCATGTCACAGTTAAATAAATTTCAGAATACTTTCGTCACTGTTACCTGCTGTGTTGAGTTGTAATTCATTGTAGATAACTATGGTTAGATCTAGGCACTCCACTTCCAATCAGTGAGTTGTGCGTTCGAACCCACTTCATAGCCAGGTAGTGTTATTATGCTGCACATCATACGTGAAGCATATTGCCTAGTTTACGGTTACAGTTACATTAGTATTAAGATTATTGAAAAGCCACAATCTAAGTCGGTTGCAAAACCGTATTTCCCAACCGAAACTTGAGAACGTAATTCATACTCATTAAACCTATTTTACAATGCATATAAAGCTAGTAGAGTTGTGTAGGCGAAACAGCCACTTAACGAAATAAGAGATGTCCACTTATCGTTATAGTAGAAAGTTAAGTGGACTGTTTTACACTTTTATTTTCTTCTGACCCGATTATTATGAAGACTGTAACACTGTCCAAACAGAAATATATTTATACTGGGTCACGAATTCACATGGTAGTCAGGCAAAACCCTTGGTGACTGAATTGAAATAAAAATCTGATCAGCAGTCAGGTCTGGTAGCTCAGTTGATAGAGCATCGAGCCAGAAACCCAGTGGTCGCTGGTTCGAATCCAGCCGCGGTCCGAATTCTCATTTCATCTTCAATCATCATCAAGTATCAACACAAGTCTGCCAAACCATGGCTATATTAGATATTTAAAACGATAAGGAATATATTTGTTGTTATTCGAATGAAAAAAGCACTCTTCGTTCTTCACACTCGAAGAGAAAAAGCTGTCAGGACTGTTGAACAAATGCCTAAAGATCTAGACCAAAGAGAATCACTTACTCGTCATAGTCCGATAGACTATCATACTGTTAACAAAAGAAAGAGAATCGGTCAAATAAAAGCATTCCTAACAGTAGATGCATGTAAGACATCTTGTTTGCTTTGATTTGCTGAAGATATTCCTAGCAAATAAATTGAGTCTAATTTATATGTTTAAAAGGAGATAACTCCAAACGACTTAGTTCTAAGGCATTACGCGACATTATCGACAAACGTTCTTCACCCATACACAAATTTAACCCTCGTAGGTACCATTCATCCCTATCCACATTCATCTCCAATTATTGATCAATACTGTTGGATATAGGGACTTGTCATTCCCCCTTATTCATCTGTTTGGGCTAAATATATCGTTTTCTATTGGTATAAGGTCCTATTGTTTACATTTATCTTATCCACTTATTATTTTGGCCTAGATAAACATTCATATGGTTACTTAATAGTCTCTGAATAGGTTTAGTCTTACCTTGACAATTAAAGTACACTCCTACTTCTATCTAGTTTGACTGAAATATCTACAGTATTCCAATGTTGTGTCTTCAAAATATGAACAGAGGTTTAATAACTCCAAAACTAAATTTTGCAGTGACTATTTACTTTTTCTTATTGTATATGTGGATGAGAAATTAATGGAAGAAAATTAAATTATCTTATTCTGCAGGTGGTGTTCTTATTGTGTTGTTAAAGTGGTAGAAACTCTCTAAAAGAGTACAATAAACAATCTTTTTTTCTCTTTTCTCTGGCCGGTTCGTTATTAATATGCATGTTTGAGAAACAAAACACAAGTGCCATAGAAGAAACACTATCTATGCCCTAACTGAAATGTGACCAAATAACAATGTGGACAAAAGGCATGAACAAGGAATAACTGTTGAAATTCGTTAAATTATTTTCTATGGGATGCAAGATTTATGCTTTCCGGGACGCGTCAGCTGCATGTACCAGCAATCTAGTGTGATAATACTCCCACTGAGACTAATATCAAATACGCTTCGATTCAAACGCCATAGAGTTCTCCACTTGACTACTGAGTTGCAGTAGGCACTCCTTGTGCCAGTCATATAGTTTAATGTTATATCTTGATTTGACAAACTAATCAGCATCTATGGGCATCAAAGTTGCTTATTGCTGAATAAAGGTGTCAGTAAGCCGGCCACATCTTTCGGACTTAGAAGATATGATTCATAGTGGTCCTTCTTGTTCACATTAAAAACTTTTATCTAACCATTGTTATCGTTTGTGTTTATTATGCATACTTACTTATGACTGATTGCATGACGCTCATAAATTGTTCAGTTTTGACAAACTGCATAAAATTAGTTCAGTTTAGTCGGTGAATACTTATCTACACTATGCGAAAATCAGAGTAATAAGTTGAGCATAGATTTTGCTTGAGATGAAACAATTCGTAAGTTTCAATGGAAACTACAAAATTAACACAACTTACATGTCTATTCTATTCAGTTCTTTCTAAAGTTTGCTTATACGCAGGTGAAAATCAAACGTTGAAAATGAAATCACAATAACAGAAAAATGCTACTTGTTCATAAACAATACAGTAGATAAAGAAACTGTTCACTAAAGATCCGTCAGTGAAATAATTTGGTGAAATGTCTTGGAACAGTCTTTTTACCGTATCCCTCTGAAACTAACAACAAGTCATACTTTAGATTTTCGAGTTAACCTGAATCATAACAAATATTTACGACAAATAAAGGCCATCTTATACACATCTCGTTCCATGTAAGTTGGTTGTTGGATAATCACCTAGATATGCTTCAGTAATGAGTAATTCATTGTTCATTGAACCAAACATACCATTACACAATCTTAGAAAGGGTTAACTTAAAATTATAAGTACAATCTCCAAGAGATTTTTGTTGAATCTATCATTATCACTTTGACTATCTGAGATAGCTGTGGTTTAGCAGACTAGTATCGATACTTGGTGGTGATTGGAGGTGAAATGCAAGTTTGAACCCCAGCCACATTCAAACCAGCGACCACCGAGTATAATTAACTTTTTGCTACTAAATGCATTATTTCATTTCACCGCCTTTTCGTGTCTGAATAGTGAAAGAATAACTGTTTTAACCAATCTAATCAAACTTCAAAGATGCCTGGTTACCTTAGTTAATTATTTTTCCTTTTAAATTGCATTAGCACAATGGCTTCGAGAAAATGAGCAGCTTGAATATTTAAAAGGGCAAGTGCAAGTGTTCAAAAAAGTTTGAAGAGAATATTCTTTGAATAAAGTAAAGTAATGCATCTATACAGCACTATTTACCCTCACTGTACACGCAGTCATTTTCGGACTTCTTAACTGAACTTTAAATCAACCACTGCGTGCAGACATATTGGACTGTAATAAATATGTTATTTTTAAGCGTTTCTTATACTCTCTCCTCCTCCTCCTCTCTCTCTCTCTCTCTCTCTCTCTCTCTATATATATATATATATATATATATATATATATATATATATATTGAGCAACGTATCTGAAATCGTTAAGAGATGGATTTGCTGTCCACGGAGTCTCTTTGGAACCTTGAGTATGCAGAAAAAAAGTTCAGTAAGACGAAAATGTTGATAAAAGGCAGAATTTCCTAAACAAATGCTGAAGAGTAACATGATGCCCTGAACCGATCTACATTAACATCCGTTATCAAGATAAAGGATGAAGTGGTTGGTTTCACTAATCGCTACATTTGTAGCGAAATTTGTGAGAACCTTAAGTCAGGTATTTGTTGACGGAAACTCAATAAATGAAGAAAAGGGTCATCGACAAGTCTCCAACTAGCAGCATCTGTTACGTCACCAAGATATTACACTGACTGCCAATGTGGGCGGTTATTGTGGACACCACTCAACTCCATCTTACTATGAGTTTGTGAGATATAATGGTCCAAGATGAATAATTTCAGGTGACAGGTTTTCAACCACAAGTAGTCTTGCTGACATTCTCCATGTGTTGTGTAATCTTGAAGTGAACAGCTTTGAGATGAGACGAAGGGTTTTCAGCAGGGAAGAGTAGTCAAACAATGGGATAACTTAGGCCATTTTTATTCTCCAGAGTTTATGGATCAGTTTTTAGAGACCTTCGACGTGACCAATCGGAATCGATCCCGTTGGTACAGATTAACAAACTTTGTTATCTTTTTTGCTTCAGTTGGTGTTTTCATTGTTGGATGTTTCGAAGCATTGCAACTTGAATCAACTTTAATTCTGGGTTATACTTTGCCTCGTAAACATTTTTGTAAAGTCTGCTGTAAATGAATTTATCTGCAAAACCAACGTAACACATCCGTGAAACTTATTGAAAACTAGAACATATAAAACATGAGGCTGCTCCTGATCTCTTCTCGCTTAATATATCCCTTCGGCTTTTAAGTATTAAAGACTTGAGAAAAGCTGCCTATAATATCCGTACTTGCAGATATTTGATGAATTCAAACCATAAATAATAGTGTAACACAAAAATATAAGCTTATTATTGTATTGAGTGAATTGAGTTAATGGTAGAAACAGCATACCTTTAACTTATTGTAATACACTTTCAATTCATTCTCTTTTTGACTCAGTTCTACAGCGATTTCAGGTATATCTAATCCCCACTTAGACAGTAATTCAATTTCTCGATAGACTTCTAGAATTTCTGGATCCAGTGCAACAATAATATGATTTGTTTCCTCATCTTGATAAAGTAAGGGATCACGTAGGCCAACTTTTGCAATCGATATCTGTGAAGAGGAAAAATAATAAAAGAAGGGTTTATTTGAAGCAGCCCACTCGTTGAAATAAGTAGTTTCAAGCAACGAATTCATTGAAAGTTGTTATTACACAAACGAAAGGATATTAATGTTCTGTATGCAGTTTAACCCTTGAAAGGATGATTTATCAGACATATATCGAAACATGCTTCAATACAACAAAGAACAGCATACAGAAATGAAAATAAAAGGTCACTAACGAATCACCAGCATACTATGAAATTTACAATGAGTTTACTCTGGAACGGATAACTTTAATATCTCTCTCAACTGGTCCCACGTCTTAGTCTGGGCACCCTGAATCCTTATCCAGTCTAATCCAACTTCTCCTAGCATGGCGCGTCGAGGTAGGCAATGGTTCGGCATGCACAGCACATGTCTAAACTACCTCGATGAAACCTTACCGACTGACTTGCCTTCTGTGTCTAGTACCTTTCGCCTAGCATTAACATTTCTCACACTGTGATCCCACCATACCCAAGCAGTGCTACGAAGATGCCAGTGACCAAAGACTTACAACTCGTTCATATTTTCTACTTTTGACAGCAGAACTGAATTCAGTGGCTTTTGGTGGAATTTGCAAAATCAAGTTCCAACTGATTCACCTCCTCGATTGTTTGAGTAGGGAAATTACTTCTCAATGAACATTTTATGCTTTATTCACTGGAGATGGTTTGGAATCCCTATTGACAGTTTTCCTGTGAATAAACCAAGGTCTACTGAAGACAGTTTTCATAGCACATAAATACAAGGGGCATGGTTAACGGCTATTGTATACTATTTTACTACCTCGCAGAATAAAAATGTGAATACATTCCAAATCTGACATAATGTTCTTACGGTTATATATCAATATTTCTGAATCACATTTACAATAGTGTCATTACTGTTATTTTTAAGTGCATAGGAAGAAGAATTTAATCCAGACGGGAAACCAAGGTAAATCATGCCTTTGAATTAGGTGGGTTCACCCAATATAAAAGATCCCTGTAAAGTAATGGCAGCTTTCGATGCATGCTCGAGATACAGCACTTACCAACAAATTTAAGAACCTTTAGTTCTTCAACATCAAAATCAAAATCTGATTAATATTTCCCAAAGTTTATACTTTTCAAAGTGAAATTAATTTTTCAAAAATAAAGAAACTATAAATGTTACTAGAAAAACCTTTGACTTAAAGCATAGTTTAAAACTTCATGATGTAACATCTAACTGACTGGATCATTGTAGGAACACAGAACTGTGGACAATAGGGTTTTGGTTCAAGTTATCATACTTCAAAAAAGTATATCAGAACGAACCAACAAAGAATTAAAGTTATAATTTAACGCGTGTTGGCTAGTAATGGAATATAGGATGTGCGACTCATTCCATTTGGGAATCGCTAACTGCATGTATCTGCATCCAAGTGAGTGATGTTTTTTCAAGTGAGACTTGAACCCAATACTCATCGCCTCAAACGTCAAAGTGTTATCCAATAGGCCGCTGTGGCACGATAACCACCTCCTTTGGCACTGGTGTCAGTTTTAGTTGGTTGATACTTGTAATTTCCCGTTGCTATACAGGGCTGAATTCCTCGACCTCTGTTGGCAGATGGGCTCCTATCCGGATGCCTTGATACTAGATAACTCTTCGGTGTTTGAAGTGATGGGTGCGAAGTTTGAGTTTCAACGGGAACACCATCACTTACTCGGGTGAAGGCACATCCAGATGACGATTCCCAAGTAGGAAGAAACGCTCGTTCTGGGTTACACCACTAGCCACCACCAAGTAAATTGTAGCAATAAAATTCAGCTAATTCCGAAGCATTCATAAAGGAGCCCATACGCCACCAGAGGTTGAATTATTCCACTCGATATGTTGACGGGCAATTACAAATACCAATAAATAAGGGAGTAAAGTGTTTAATCAGAACAGAATGGGATATCAGGTAGACTAATTGGTTAAACAGGACTAAAATCTTAGAATGTGTTGTATCGAAAACCAAATGTAGAGTAAATTCATCTGAACTGCCAAAATTACTAACGAGTTAGGTCCTCTGGATTCTCAGGTGCCTAGTTCATTCTGTTTCATAGGTCTTCACACTCATATATGGCTGAAACTAGTGACCTCATGAATTAGAGTTATATCTTGACTCAACTACTGTTAGACTCTGTTCCAGTGGAATCGTACTTCAGCTAAAGTCACAATTATACAAGTGCGGTAATGAACCGTAAAACTGATAATAATAATAATAATAATAACAAGAAATTAGATGCTCAAACACATATTCGGTAAAGTATTCGAAGATAAGATTTGGGTTATGATTTCATATTGAAGTATAAAACGTTTGAGTTATGAACTTAGTTGTATAGATAATTTTCTTGACCTTATCTTGATACAAAAAAAAAAGGTTGCTAGTTATTATCAAAGATAAAGTATTTTCAAAGTCTATAACGTGATAACTTAATGAGTAAAGAAGCGAATTTAAGGATGAAACAGCAGGATACTTGAGTTTTCTGATGGTTTTCAAAAGTTGTGAATGAGAAAAAAGTGAGCTAGTGAATCGGACTATTTTGAGTGAGCTCACACTTAAATCACCGCATAAGATTATGGTTTACTTACTTTCATTACACAGAGATGACCTTAAATTCTAAGCAACAACGGTACAATGAGGAACTTTATTTTCACTTTAGTGACTTACCATCGACAAGAATATCTAGCATTCCTGGTTTTTGTTTGAACCGTTTTGAGTGATAGGAATAGCAGTTAGAGACAGGACTTGCATGGATACCGTGATATCACACTATGAAATGACTATGGTTGGAATTCCATACTACCTGAAGTTCGACTTCAGGACCATACTAAGAATTCACTTGTATTTGTGTATGCATTCCAGTCACAACTAAATATCACTCGCTTCAAAAGCCACAGTATTATCCATTGAACTATCTAGTCACATAAAGCGTTTCTAGTGAATGGCGAATAGGATGAAATATGTACTCAAAATTCTTTAACCCATCCAATCTAACCAGAAAAATAGGTTGAAGGCTTTACATAGAGTTCACTTAAACATTCAAACAATTAGTAAGTAATGTTAGGCCATAATAATTCAACTCGATCAAACCACTACCAAAAGAACTACAGAGCATCACTTTATTCCCAGACACAAACCGACAATCATCATTTGATGTAAATGAAATCGATTAACAAACCTGTTTAATCCAATTACGATAGTGAATCATTTCATAGATGACTAAAACTTCAGCTAACTTGTTATATTTCTTAGTAATTTCTTTGCCTTCCTTTGATTTCATTAACTTGATCTTATCATTAAGAATCAGCATTGGACCTTCAATTCTTCGATATAATTGTTTTGCCCACGATATTTTACCTATTAAAACAAAAAGCAGGAGAATGGCAAGAACGTACGAGTTCTGGTTGCCTTGGTGATTTCTGACAAGTATGAAGTTTATAACAAGATTCATGCAAACAATTTTGTTGTTAATTCAATTACTACAGCAATTAAAGTGAAAATCATTTGGATAACGTCTGAAAACAGAGGTGTACAAAAGCTCTTAGTAAAGAGAACCTGTGAGGCTGGAGAAGAGTTCATAGAAGAAAGTGAAGTGGAATTTTAAGTACCTCATTAAAAGACTAACAAATTCATCGGCTTATAACACCTGTCATTCATTCCCTTTATAGATTTGTCTCCTAATTAAATGGGTTGCTCCACGACCCTTCTGTTTCAATTATCTAAAGATGTACATAAAAATGAATTATCAAGCTGTTTAATAATCCAAACATTTACTGTAACTAATTCTTATAATTGAGATCAATTTTACTGAAAAGTGACACTTTATCTGGAATAATTCTAGGTCTTATAAGTTTTTGGATTCCCGAATTTAAGCCTAAAGCATACTCTGAACATTGGGTAAATACTACTTGTAAACATGCGCGCATAAGTGCTTTTTTAAAACTGACAAATTTTCCAGCCTAGTTTGAGTTTTATGCATAGTAATACAAGTAAGCATGAAACTTCTCACCGAAAAATCTATTCCACAAAAATAATAAATAGGCTATCAAATTAGATGTCGTAGAGAATTTTATTCAGGGGTATTAAAGTACACTAACGTCTTTAGCACAATAACTGAAAATTTTTAAATGGATTGGTACAGAAGATGAGAAATACACAGGATATTGAAGATTTTCCGCATGTGTACACCACCAACCACCTTCTAAGACGAAGGAACAATGAAAAACGTCTAGTCTTACAGCTGAAAAATGACGAATATATCGCGAACTTTATTCACCTTTGTTAATCAGGGCGAAATGGGAGACATTGAGCAACATCCCTGAAGAGACCTGAGTGGAAGAACACTGGAACTCTTTGAAGAGATGTGCAAAAAAACCTGCATAACCGTATTAGGAAGGAAGAAGACAAGGAATGGATCTCAACGGATACGTGGAAGCTGATAGAGGAAAGGAATACGGCAATGGTGAAGCAGAGGAACCAGGGCAATGCTATGCAGGGATGAACAACGAAAAGAGGAACTGAACACAACATATATATAACACTGAACAAATAAGTGAATAAGAGTGGACGGAAAGACAAAAGACACTTCTACGATACACTTGTAAGTGAAGCAGAACAGGCTGTGGGTAAGAGAGACAGAGACCTGACAACACTATATCAAATAACCAAAACAATACCTGGGAAGCGATCAATGCAGATGAAACCAATGAAAGATAGTGAAGGAATCCTAGTTATCAAAGAACATAAACAAAGGAAACAATGGACTGACCACTTCAAAAAGCTCTTGGATCAACCACCACCACCACAAACACCTGCAAATCGTCCAGCAATATCACCAGCAGCCCAGCCACAGAATTACCAGTGAACACAAACCCTCCGACAATAGCAGAAGTAAAGTCCTGAACCCCATAATGCTACTGAAACCCGGGTAAGCAGTAGGATCAGATGGAATTCCGCCAGAAGCACTGAAAACAGACGCAGAGACAACAGCAGCGGACATGCTGACACCACGATTGCAGAAGGTTTGGAAGGAGGGAAGGAAAGGTACCTGTTGACTGAGTGGAAGAAGGACTACCTTGTCAAACTTCCAAAGAAGGGAGATCTGAGTCTGTGCAAGAACTGGCGTGGAATCATGCTGCTGTCCACCCAAAGCAAAATAGTAAGCCACATCATCTTGGAGAGACTAAAAGATGCGCTGGATTCAACATTACGACCAGAACAGGCTGGCTGGCTTCAGGAAGTAGAAATGATGTGCGGATCAAATTGTAACGCTACACTACGCATCATCATAGAACAGAGAATAGAATGGCAGTTAACTGGATCTTCACCTCAACTTCATTGATTTTGATAAGGGCTTTGATAGCGTCGACCGAGAAGTAATTTGAAAACTACTTCAATACTGCGCTCTTAATGCCACAAACGTTTATCAACCTCATTCAACAGCTATATGCGATATGATGCTATATGCCAAGTGATTCACAATGGAACGCTCAGTGACGCCTTTGAAATGAAGACAGGATTAAGACAAAGCTGGCGCCTACTATCACCGATCATCTTCCTAATTGTGGTCTACTTGATCATGCAACAAACTGTGAGGAGCGACAAGATGGGCGAAAGCTGGCTGGTCCGATGAAAAGACCTCAGAAGTTTTGAATTTTGCTGATGACGATTTATGTCTAATGTCTTGTCGCACAAACTTGAAGATGTACAGGCGAAAACTAACAAGTTGGCAGAAGAGGCGAGGCAGCGAAGACCGGACATCCTTCAAGTGAACATAGAAGAAACAGAGGTGATGAAGATGTCCAACCAACAACAACAAGCACTCATAACCATTAATGGAAGAAATCTAAAGGAAGTAGTCTCTTTCACCTATCTGGGCAGCATCGTTTCAATTACAGGTCGTGGTGGCACAGATGAGGACGTGAAAGCTAGCCAGGATCGGAAAGACACCAAGACAGGCCTTCCCACATTAACCTGAAATCAGTGTGGAGATCTACTGCACTCAGGATAACGAACAAGATCCGAATTTCCAACACTGATGCCAGCCGAGTCAGTGCTTCTATATGATCGTTGAGAACCTTGGCGCGTCACGAAAGCATTTCCAACAAACTACATACATTCATCAACAGCTGCCTCTCACGCGCTCACTCGATTCTGAAGATCAGATGGATGGCCAGAAAGAATAAGCAACAAGGAACTATGGCTGGCTGAGTGGTTGACTAACTGACTGGCAACGAACCAACGAAGAGAGAACCCATCGCCCAACAAACATGCAGAAGAAAGTGGAGATGGATTGGATTAGGCATACACTGAGAAAACCATTTGTGGACATCATGTGCCAGGCCAGTCCCTCGAGTAAAATCCAAAGAGGAAACGACGAGTTGGGCGTCCAAGGCGAGGGTGACATACAAGAGATCATGTGAGGAAGAAATGGAAGCTTCTGGGCAGTCGTGGAGTCAGGTTAAAATGACTCCAGAGAACAGAGTGCAATGGAGGTGTGCTACTGAAGCCCTATGTTCCACTAGAAACCCAAGGGACAAATAATGATAATAACAGTCAAAACATTTGAAATCAAATCGGTCGGTGCACATCTATGGAAATATTTTCTTTGAAATCATCACAGTTAGTGCTGATTATCGGAATCATTTCCTTTTCCTAATCTTTTCCTGACTCTCACATCAAAGAACTCCACGGAAGATATGTGAGCCTCAACTGATGAGATTCTGATATATCTGAAAGGTTGAAGGACTTTTTCAATGCTACGTAAAGTATTTCCGAATTCCTAAGATGCTATGTAATCCCACAATACGTAAAATGATACCATTTATCAATATTGGTCACTAGGTCACGGGTTCGAACTTCATTCTACTTTTATTGGCCTAGACAACCACGCAGTATTACGAGTCATCAAATAATAGGTATATGTTATAGCTTAATGCAGAAAATTTGTAGAGCATTAGTGAGCCGAATTATCTTATGTTATTAGTGGTGACGTGGTTTCAACATCATATCAGCATCAAAAAGTTGAGTACCCGAAAGTAATGGCTGCTTGAACTAATTGTGCAAATGTATTCCTCGTAATGAATAGATAATAAAAAGGTTGTTTACTGTTGATACACATCCAACTTTTTTCAAAATTCAAACAGATAAGGTGTCTGCAGTTGGGATTCTAATAGGTCAATAAATAGGTTGTATTTCACAGTTCTGAAAAATTAAAAATACAAACCTATCAAATTATCTATGATATTCGACCTCACTTGACTGTGGGGAATTCATCATACCTAGCAAAACCATTAAATTAACTTTTCTGTTTTTCAGTCCTTCAAGAATAATCAACAAACAAAGAACGCCATGTTTATTACGGTTTCAAGAAGCTCTCACCATCAAACGTTTTCAACTTGACTTATGTACTCAGAAAGAGCCTATGATTAGCCTTTCTTTACCTTGGTAATTGTATATCTTTTTTTGAACATGTATGTATATGTTCTTCCTTTTTTGACTGTATTATCTCTTCGCCTGGTTAACTAGTTCACTAGTTACTAGCCGGTCCTAAGCCCGGGTAAGCAGGGAGGGTTGGGCATAGGGCTAGCAACCCTACCCCCTAAAACAAATCTAACCGCTAAAGAAACTTCAAAGCACAAACAAAATATAAAAAATAAAAACAAAATTATTCCTCGCTGGAATCGGAGAGGCGAAATGACGCCAGTTGGTGAAAACCTGCCTTCGGGAAGCCAATTGGTTGATATGTCTTCTCTCAATGAAAGCGAAAGTAAACGTGTGAACATAAAATGTCCGCACCATGTTTGAACCCAGCAACGCAGCCCAGATTGCAAACGAGATGAAGAGGTATCACATCGAAGTGCTTGGGATTTGCGAAAGCAAATGGAATGGAAGTGGACTCTACAAACTGTCAACTGGAGAATCAATAATCTACTCCGGTCACCCAGACGACAACCACCAGCACACTGAGTTTCGGAGTGGCTATCATGATGTCCCCAACAGCATCGAAGGCTCTCATGCAGTGGGAACTAATCTCCTCCAGGATCATGACAGTAAGATTCAACTCAAAAGGAAGGAAGGTCACAAACATACAATGCTACATTATGCACCTACAAATAATGCAGAGCAAGAGAAAAAGGAGGATTTCTACAGACAACTGCAATCAACACTGGACAAGACCTCAGTTGGCGATATCAAAATTCTAATGGGCGACATGAATGCCAAACTGGGAGCAGACAACACAGGAAGAGAACTAACCATGGGTCGAGAAGCGCTCGGTGAGGCGATGAACGAGAATGGAGAATTGTTTGCAGAATTCTGTGCACTCAACGATTTGGTGATTGCAGTGAGGCACTGTG